AAAATGTTTGGTTAAGTACCTGGAATTCAATAATTTGTTGTTTGTTGGTTTTAGATGTGTAGAAAGTGTTGTTTGAGCAAATGTTTGGTTTCTGCAGGTTATTCCTAATGTGAACTGCGTGAAATTGATGTATTTGTGCATAAACAACAGTCTGGGGTACACTTTTTTTGCTTGTTTAATTGAATTTTACATTGAAAGTTAATTTGTTTAATCGATGAGGAAATAAGAATTATTTTTACTTGTATAATTGATTTGTTTAATTTGATGTGTAAATAAAAATTATTTTTTTGTTTGTTTAATTGATTTGTAAAAGTTGATTTGTTGTTTTAAATTCAATCTACATTATGTTGAAGGCAAAAAAGACCTGTTGAGGGTACAAATTCGCAACGCGAAAGGTAAATTCGCATTGTGATTTTGTCAAATTCGCAATGCGAAAGTCAAATTCACAACGCGAAAGTCAAATTCGCAACGCGAAATAAGCGTTACGATAGTCAAATTCGCAACGCAAAAGTCAAATTCACGTTGCGATTTTCGGTTTGCGATTTCGCGTTGCAAATTTGACTTTCACGTTGCGAATTTGACTATCGCAACGCTTATTTCGTGTTGCGAATTTGACTTTCGCGTTGATCGTAACATACAACATCAAGTTATATACAACATCAAACACATTCCAAGCTATAAATACAAGCTAAGGACACTTGAAGAAGCAAGAGAACAACTATCCAAGCAAACAAACACAAGAGAAAATTCCAACATGATAACAACTGAACAGATCATAGCAATGTTCAAACTCAAGTTACTAATGAATGTCTAACTGAAAATGTATGCATTCACACATAAAATACACATAATACAACATTTGCATTTAAAAATCACCTAAGTTAATAAGTCTCAAAAGGTGAAACCGGTTGTGATTGGGATTTTGATTTCTTTTTGCTTGGAACCATATGAGCTTTGGATTTTGATGATGGTCCATTTTTTGGTAAAGGAAAAGATGATTGTGATGGCACTGGTGATCCACATGTCAACCTTGTATGACCACTTTTCTTGCACCGAATACATGTCGGTATCCTCTTCTCTTCATCCTTAGACGGTATACGATCGTGATGTTTTGGTCGGCCAGGTAGCATGCTATCCATGACTGGTGGCAAAACTGTTTGTAAGTCATCTGGTATGTCCCACTCAGAAGGATGTGGACATGGGTAGACAATCTCGGCATAAGTCTGTCGATATACTTCTGTAGTGTAGCAATCCATAGCATATGCGCTTGAATCATCTTGGTTTAGATGAAGAGCAACTTTTATAACATGGCCACACGGATAACCAGATGTTTGCCATTTCTTACAACTACACGTCTTTGCATTTAGATTGACAAGCCCATTTAAGTTATTATCCAATACTTCAAACAAAGTGTTTGAACATGGTTCAACTCTCCATGACGTTGACTTCACAACACGTTTCGTTATCTTTTTTTCAGTCCATGGTGTAACACGACGTTCCAATGTTCCTGTAAATTTAAATAAATAATACTTAGTAAAATATATGATAAGTTACTAATTTAAAGAAATAATACCTGTTTAGTTTCTTTTCTTGTAGCACCACTGTTGAATAGAGGCTCGAAAAAACTCCATTAATATAGTAATGGGTAATTTCTGGGAATGACGACTTAGAGTTTTGATTGATTCTGCACTATTAGACGTCATGAAACCATATCTTGCTCCAAGTTGATGTACTCTTTACCATATTTCAAACCCAACATCTTCTAGTGTTTGAGCTCATTGAGGCAAAACACGTCTTAAACAATTTATATGCTTATTAAAATCCACTTCCCGATAAGCTTTTACAGCCTTCCAGTATGTCCATTTGTGATTTTTTTATACCAGCAGACCTTGATTTTAGATTTCTGTACAAATGAACACCACAAAGTCCATGAAAAGCATATGGGAAACACCTTCTAACAGCGTTGTCAATTGAGTTTGCCCTATCGGATATGATTGTCAGATTGATAATAGGACCTATGCAATCCCTAAGATGCCCCATAAACCATGTCCATAAATCAAAGGTTTCAGATTTACCAACCTCGTAAGATATTGGCAGTATCCCATTGTTAGCATCCATGACTACTGCTAATAAGTTTACTCCAAGGTATCGACCTTTCAAATGTGCTCCGTCAACTATAATAACTGGGCGCATGCAAGTAATAAACAAACGAATCTACAAAATCATATACACAAGAAATATAATCATTTAAATGTGAAATGCATGCAACTAACAAAAATGAGTCAACAATTTTATAATTATTTACTAACCGCAGCACCAATGGCAATAAACAATAACTCATTATCTCTATCTGTTTTGAAATGATTTACCGACCAAGGATTTTTCAGCTTTAAATTGTGACAATAAGCCGACAGTTGGGCAAACGATGCTTCTGGCGACCCCTCAATAATTACAAGGCATAACATTTGGCTCTCCAAGCTTGAGAATATGAGATACTAATCTAGAACCGAGTATTCATGTCAGTCATAATTTCATGTCCCCGATATACCCTTCCATTCAAAAACATTAACTCAGCCAGAAAACCACCCAACACCTTTTTGTTTGCCTGTCTATGGTGAGGAAAAACTTGGGTTCTTGAACATGTATTTTATCAATAAAAGTCATAACTTGAAACATTTCGTAATCTTTTATCCTCTTTGCAATCATACGTCACGTACAGTTTTTGTCAATCATACACTTTGTTTCGAAACGATCTTTGCTTGATTTGTTAACTTTTAGTTGATAGCCATCTTCCACACATTTTAGCCATGTTCCACACATTTCGTATACAAAGTTATCTTCAAGTCTTCCTTTGTATCAAAACAATCATCTTTCTTGATACAAATAACTTTTTTGTAACAATCAACTGCTATCTTTACCAACTCTTCTTACTGTATCTGAAATAATTCTGGCATATTCCAGTTATACTCCCGTGGCATTTTCTTCTTTTTCTTTTCTTCGGGGACTTATTCTTATTCTTTTTCTTCTTCAGGGTTATATGAATTACAGAATGGATGTTCAACATGTTCATTCATAGTTGTAACTTCCTCCTCATTATCATCAACAAAATCTTCCTCGGCAGCGGGTGTTTCATCATCAAAATTCGAGTATTGACCAATATCAAAATCATTATATGCAGGGTCTGTTTCTTCTTCCATCACATCATCAAAATCTGAGTATTGACCAAGATCAAAGTCCGGGTATTGACCAAGATCAAATTTCGAATACTGACTAGTACTCATAATTTTTTCTGTTGGCTCATAATCGTCTAACTGGTCAATACGAAAACCGGAATTTGGTACTGAAAGTTGATTGGGATTTGGATTAGGAAAAGGTTGTGAGTTTTGAGATTGTGTTTGATATTGTGTTTGTTATTGGAAATGTGGTGAAACCATTAAATTTTGAGGTTGATAACAACGTTGTACATTGTGAGCACCATAAACTAGGGTTGAAGAACTTAGTTGATTACTACCCGCTACTGACCCAACTTCACTACTTCTAGGTTCAACAACATACAATGTAACATCATCTTCTTGCGAAACACTAATGTAAGAAACGAATCGTTCAACATCTTCATTGTCGGTTAACAAATAAACTTTACATTTTCTCTGATAAGATAGCCTAAATCCACTTAGAGGCTCTAAATTCAATTTCTTTGCAACACGTAACATTAGAGTTTCATAAGTTAACTTTTTTAATGACAGTTTTAGTTGAAGATTCATGGGTAAAGGCACATATTGTAAAACACTATGAACATTCTCCCATGACCCTCCAAAACACAAATCTATCCAAACATGATCAACATTAGATGATTTTATTCTACAAATTGTAAATTAATTTACTAAACAAACGAGCTATAAACTAGATATCATCACTAACTTAGAGAAAAACATACCTTTATTAAGTTGATAGTTGATAATTTGGGTTGCGAAATTGGAAACTGGGTTGCGAAATTAGAAACTGGGATGCGAAATTGGAGTTCGTGTTGCGAATTTGTTGGTCATTTTGGCAAATCCAAAAAAAGTTGGTTAAAATCGTATATTATAAGGTATTTTCGGTCACTGAGGTTATTTTCTCTTGATTAAATTAGGATAAATTTGAAAGTTAAGTAATTAAATTAAAAAAATAAACTTTGGCGACCATAATAGGAGTGAGAAGATAATTGAGTGATGAATGATGCAATTTATCTATAAAAAAGATACCACATATAATGCTTCTATTAAGCCAAAATAAAATAAAAAAGTAAATGTTAGACATAATTTTAAAAAAGTAAAAATTTAAATACTAAAACGAAATAAAATTGATAATTATTGAATGTGTAGTTTATTCCCTTTTCTTTAGAGAAACTTTGTATCTATATATCTAATTAACTATAATCATTTTTTTTAAGTTAACTCAATTTGTAATATTTTTTCTCGGTTATTGGTTACAATAAAGTTTATATTATCATTGATAATAATAATTAAAAAACAATATTAGATTTTTAACAAATTGTTTGATAAATCAAATGTATTTAAATTTTATGAATAAAATATTAAAAAGAAAAAAAATAATGAAATAGACCGTTTCTCTTTAACACCTTCAGATTACCCGTAAACTGAACCATTTCACTTCATTTTAATCACATTGTATTAAACTCTTTCTTAGCTACGATCTCACTTAATTTTCATGTCCAAAATCAAAGGCAATCCCAAACATTGGAAGCCACAAAAATCACTCAGAAAACACACCCTAGTGGAATTTAGAAACAACAAAACCAGGCCCTACCGTCGTCGATGCTGCAAGAAGCTACACCGTTTTGGGAACTTAAAAATAGCCGACAAAATAAACGCTTCGATTTTCTTCCACGTGTACGTCTTCGATTATTCTTAGTCCACGTCTGCAATCCCCATGAAATTTAATCAACCAATGACACTCTTGTATGACACAAATCCCATCTCGCTATAAATTCCGCCTAGTGTCAGTTCCATGGGGTATACCGAAGCAAAAACGTTCCTCTAGACTCTTCCCTTGTTTCTGTTAAAATATTGTCACTTGTGATCACCGATGGCCACAGCAGAACCTGAAGTTCCGGTCACCGAGCAGCCGCCTCCGGCGGAGAAGCTTGTGAAGGAGAAGAAACCCAAAGCTCCAAGGGAGAAGAAGCCGAAGGTTACAAAGGAGAAAAAGCCTAGGCAACTAAAATCCGCTGCTCATCCTCCTTACTTCCAGGTATTTTCTTATCCCTTTAATCATTGTCTGTGGTGTTTTTGTTAGTTGATTAACGGTTTGTTAATTTTTATTGTGCAGATGATAAAAGAGGCGATTCTGGCTTTGAACGAGAAGAGTGGTTCGAGTCCGTACGCAATAGCCAAGTACATGGAAGAGAAGCACAAGGCGGTTCTTCCAGCGAATTTTCGAAAAATATTAGCTCTTCAGCTTAAAAACTCTACTGCGAGAGGCAAACTGATAAAGATCAAGGCCTCTTACAAGCTCTCCGAAGCTGGTAAAAAAGCTACGAAAGCTAAATCAGAGAAGAAAGCGAAGCCAGCTGCGAAGCCGAAGAAAGCAGAGGCTACAAAGAAACCGGCAAAGAGGGTTGGAGCTAAGAAGAAATCAACTCCTGCAAAACCAAAGCAGCCTAAATCCATCAAGTCAGCCTCCGCTAAAAGGGCCAAGAAGACTGCGTAGCACCAAGTTGTAGAAAGTTTTGAAGTTTTTATATATGTATATATATGAATGTATAACGAAAATAGTTGGAGGTTGTTTGTGCTTTTGATCTTCTCCATAGTGGGAGGTTGTTTGTGCTTTTGATCTGCAATGGAGAAGAAGCGACTTTCGGATGTATGAAAATCTCTATAATAAATAACAACCCAATATTCCAAATTTGATGTCTTGAGTATGATCAAGATGTACTCAGTCGACGGCGGCGGAGGAGAGCAGTCACTTCTTAAAAGTTTAAAAGTATTATATATTTTAGATTACTGGTGTTAAAATTTTAGAAATTTAAGTTGGTATTTGTTGGATGAATTGGAGACGGAGGTGGTAGATTATCAGTGGACGTGGATTCTGCTTTTCTTTGGTACGTTCTTACCGGGTATGTATTCAACACTTGTTCGGCGTTGTGTTATGGGGTTCTTTTTCTAGAATAGGAATAATATTTAGAGTATTATTTTGGATGATGATAGTTTTCTATTGAAATATTATATTATAAATGTTCAGCTTTGGATTATGTAAGGTAACATAATACGAGTATTGTTTTTTTATAATTTAATCGATTAACAATGTGAAATAATATGAGTAAAATTTGACCCGATTTATAAGTTTGATATTTCTATTTTAATTTTACTTGAATTGAGCTATAATCTTATAAGTTTGATTAAAAATTAAATCTGAGTGAAATTATAAAATAAAGTTTGAATAATTCAAATAATTTAAAACTTTTAATAATTAATGAATTAATTTATAAATTTATCTGAGTTTTTCGATTTTATATATATAATTTTATTAAATATAAAAAATAAACATATATATATATATAATTTAAATTAGAATCAAATAGTTTTATAATATTATAAATATTTACAATTAAATTTAAATAGAAATCTTAACAATTTAATTCGAAATTTATAAGTTTAAGTCGACTTAAAGAAATTTCAAATAAAGTTTTATTTAAAAAAATAAGATTCGTTAATTTGAATAATTTAATTTTTTTAATTCAACTAGACTTGATTGAACATTTATTTTTAAAATATTCAATCAATTAATAAACCTCTACAAATAATATTTAATTTAACTAAATCTTTACCAGATATAACAAAATTAATCCTTAAATTTATTTTAACAATTTTAAATTTAATGTTCTCTTCTTCAAATAGAAATTGACCATCCAGCTCAGTTGGTAGAGCACAAGGTTCTTAACCTTGAGGTCGTGGGATCGAGTCCCACGGAGGGTATTTCATAATTCGGAGGTTTCTTACGGAAGTTGCTCACAACCTGGTGTTGGGAGTAGCCTACTTCTTACCTCCTCCTTACCCCATATATATGGGAAAAAGGGACAGCCATTTTTTTTTCTTCAAATAAGTTATTTTTGGTAGGCTACATTAATATAGTAATCAAGGGTGTAATTAAAATAAATATTTATAATTATAGTGAAACTTTTATAAATTAATAATATCGAGATCATGTAATTTATTAATTTAACGAGGTATTAATTAAACTATAAATTAATAATTTATCAAACCAAAGAAATTTTTTTGATTCAATGAACCTAAATTATTCTTCATGAATAAAATATATACATTATATTGATTAACTTAATGATGTTCATGTACAATGTGACTAATTAAATATATTACAAATCCTTAAAAAATAAAGTTCATTTTAGTACAGTATTAGTCAAAACTTGATGTAAGTTCATGTATGGTAAGTAAATCAACCATTATATAAACATCATCAAACATTCTTAATTAGTCTATCCAAATCAAAACCAACCAACCATGATTTTGTATCTAAAAGGCATCCAAAAATAACAATAAAATCATATTTTACTTGATTGTCCTAGTTATATTTGTAATTTTTATAGAATCATTAATTTATAATATTGAAGGGGCCACAAATATTATCTTATTAATTTATTAAAATTATTAATTTAGACTTTAAAATTAAGTCGGGATCGAGAAAAATATTATTTTAAAAAAATATTAATTTATCAAGCATTAATTATAGAGGTTCTACTATATTTTTGTTAATATGTTTTTTTTTTAATTTTTTATAGTTATTATTAGTTTATACATTGTTTGAATGCTTATAAAATATAAAAATATAATTAAAATAAAAGCTTTATAAAATTATAAACTATATATAATATCCTTTCAATTTTTTTAATAAACTTCGTTATTCTTATAACATTGAAACCAGTCACTTTAGATCATTTAAGGATTATACATGAAAAAGGTTGAAAATCCAATTAAAAGACTCGAACAAAAAATAGATATGAATAAAGTTGACTATATTAATAAATGAACCATAATAAGAGATTAAACTATTGAAAGACCACCAAGAATTGCAAATCGAAGCCAAGCGTCGGGAGAAACTATCCACGAACGTAAAATCGTGTACCCAAATTCAATCTGAGACTCCATAGCAGGGAATATCAACATGATTATAAATAAGTGACATCTAACTCGTGGCATCATCAATCAAATCATGAGAAAACATAAAATAAAAAGAATGACCAAACAACCGATAAAGAATACGAAAAATGTACCACAAAGACAGAGAAAAATGTGTCATAAAAATATAATTATTCTTATTAAAAACTAAAAAAAAATACAGAAAATCGACGATTGACAACCAATATCAAAATTAGTGTAGTTGTCAGCTAAACAAAATTAAAAAAAATAGAAAAATGATATGATCTATAATTTTTTTTAAACAAAATATAAAATTGATACGATGTATAGAAAAAAAGATTATAATTAAATTATTTTTAATAAATCAAATTACTTTATTATAAGATAATATCCTTTCAATTTTATTTTAAGTAAAACCTTGGGACCAAATATAACATAAGATGACTATTTATTAAGGGAAAAATAATTCCATTTTTCCTTGGGAAAAAGAATTGTTGATAAAATTATTTATAGAAATAACAATTAATTCATTATTTTTTTTCAATTAATCTAAATGGTAATTTACCATTTTTTAGTTACCTATTATAAACATGGTTTAATATCACAATCCCAATCTATGTAAACAATAATAGGGATGAGTATACAAATGATCATTAAACTATGATTGTCACACCTCGATTTTCATTGGTTTTGAATTTAATTTAATTTTAATTAATTTTAGGGATTAAAACGTAAAACTCTAAAAAACTAGAGGACAATTTTTGAAAGTTTTAAGAAGCTCAGGGATTAAGCCTTGAATTCCACCATCATACTTCTGCTATGAAAAAAAAAAGGAGAATGTGAGGCTAGCAGACCTTAAAACCATGACGTAGGGTATGACTAGTCATGACCATCTAAGATAGGTTACTATTTGGGATTAAAATATTCAAAATATTTCATAACCTATCCATGTTAGTTTTAATTCCCTACAAACAATCTCCATCTGAATTAAGCCTAACCCAATTTCAAAAAATTTATTTTTGTGCTTCATATTATCCCTAATGATGAGCTCCGATCTATTCCTTCAGGTCATCATGTTCGTCATTTCCACTTTCGGAGTGACCAGCGACCTCTCACGAGTAAAACCCCTCTCACGATCCATGTTACTTCTTTTGTCATGGTGTTTCCCCACTCCATTTTGACCATACTCTGATTGATATTGTCCCCTTCTATCGTGTCCTCCGTCGTCCACCGTTGAGGGAAAGAAGTTGTTCTTTCTTTGTTAATTTCGTCGTGTTTTGGCTTGATATTGAATGGTTATGAACTGATGTTGGTGTTTGGTTGCATCTAAAGTGTTTGATCGTCATTCATCGTTCCTTGTCGCCGTTGCACGCACCACCGACGTGCGTGGGGCTTGTCGTAGCTGATTCTTCTAGAAGCTGAGTCAACTCAGACTGAGTTGATCGAATCTACTCATACCGAGTTAACCGAGTGAACTCGTGAGTCAATCCATCGAGTCAACTCAGATCGAGTCAACCCATTAACTGTTGACTGTTGACCTGAATCGTTGATTGTTGACCAAACCGTTAACTTTTACCTTGACACGTTGGTCGTGGAATTTGACCAAAAAGTCAAAAATTTTGTAAACTCCTATTTTATGTTTTTATACGCCCTGATTCTGATTCTAAAGTTTGTTTCACCAAATTCAAACCCTGTAAGTTTTTTTCGATGTTTTATCTCTCGATTCGATACGAAGTTTCATGTTTAAGTCCAGTTTCGGACGTAAATTTGTTTGCTATGTATCCGAGACTTTATGGGATATTGACTTAAAGTTCAAGGGCGATCAAATGGAGATTATTTGATCGATCGATATATACAAAAATCGAGGTAATACATTACTCTTATTTGCATGCTTTACGGAAAACGTTGATATTGGTTGTTGCATGAATGAATTTTATTGGACAATTTTGTATTGTTAATTATTGTTGGACTTGAATTAAATTCAGTAAAAGTTTAGTAAACTATATAACACTTGAAGAACTAACATAAGAAATTGTAAGACCGTTAAAAAGGTAAATTTCAAGTTCAGTGATTAATCAGTAAATCAATTGACATCAAGATCCGAAATAACTAAAATAACCCCTGATAATCAATTTTTACCTCCGAAGTTGAAAAACATACTTAGGGTTATGTTCCTAAGCAAAAGTCTGAAAACTAAATCAACCGAGGTATCAGTTACGTCTAAATGGTTCGAAATGGTTGAATTATATGATAAGACTGAATCGAAAGAGAATGACTAGAATAACCCCGAGTATTTAAATAACCCAAATACCCTAATGATATGGTTTAAGGAAATGCTTGTAGACAAGTTTTGGAAGTACCAGTGATGCATTAAATATTTTAACGACCCCTAAAGGTTATGGAGACGACCCAAGTACGTCACTCATCTTGGAGACTGTTGCAATACATAAATAAAATAAATACCATCAGAATACATACAATTCCTCAAGACCCGTTCAACAATGGTTCTGAAGATGACCAGTTTGACTAGTGATGTCAGTATTAAAGTGTGAATATTCTTGAAGTGTATCGATCTGAGTGGTTGACAGGAATGGCAGTGATGGGATTTGTTCAGTTCAAGTTGACCCGACATCCTGATAAATCGACATGAATCTTGAATACTGTAAATCATCGTTTCACCCTTATTGGATTAAGTTACTAAGAATCTAATAGAAATCAAAGTGTTCGAAATACCTCTTATGGTCTAAATAA